CCGCGCTCTCGCTTACACTTCAAGCCTTAAATGGAACGCCTCAGAGCGAGGTAACGCCGCATGAGCCATGTTTTTTCGTGCGTGCAGCCAGCTTCATCGAATTAGAAGACGTTGTCACGTCAAAAAAGCGAAATGTTATGATTGTTATGCCTGAGGCGTGCGAACCTAGGTGGATATTTATTACGTATCTATCTTGATTACCCCGATCACAGGCGTCGCTATTTTTTAAAATTTTAACTTTTCCTTTTTCGTCAGACCATAAAGGATTAACGCTGGACCCGGCTCTCCATCAATTGTCACGTTTGACAGACGAAATAATGACCACAGTACCAGATATCTCGTACCTTTGACGATGCTCCCTGCTCTGTATAGTATACCAGCACACGCACAACTGCAAACCTCTATCATTTTATTTATATAGATAGATGAAGATATCGCAATAATTTATATAAAGGCCAAGTGACAAAGAAATAAAACTTAGAAAACCTAATTGAAATCTTTCCAGTAGTTATTCCGTGATGCGCGCACAACTGCAAATCTCTACCATATTATTTATATAGATTATCTAAGATGCTCCGTGTCGCGGGTAGAGATATCGTCATATAGCGGAAACTGTAAGTTCTTGTATATCAAATAATCGCCTTTTATGCCATCTCCGGGACGAAATGCGGTGAAAGATTCTCTTCCGCCATTACTCGGTAATAATACTTGTAACCATTTTTTGCGAGAAGACAAACAAGGTCGCCAAAGTCATGTTAATACCCTTGGAGTGACCACTAACTTAAATCTGACCCTGGTAATAGTAATAGTCTTGACACTAAAAAAATTTGAAATAGTGATGGAAGACGTTAATTATGTTTAATATAATCTTGCATTTTATTTTACATTTATTTAAAAATATTACGCTTACGCATTAATTGCTTCTTAGAAATTAATTTATTATTTTATTATATTCCACTAAAATAATTATAATAAATATGGTATTATAATAAAGTAATTAGTTTATTATATTCTACTAAAGAATAAATTAAAGAATATACAAAAAATAACTAATGAAAACAACTGGAATAATTTATTAAGAATCAATTTTAATACAAGCCGGATTATATATATTTTTTCATTTAAGAAATTTCCTTCTTTCCGGAATGAAAACAAATGACCCTTTGCCTAACGGGTAAATGAAGCGTTTATTTGTTAAACTTGAAACATAAAAAAGAAGAGAAAAAATTTTATACGTTTTATTTCAGTATGTTTAAAGCAAGCCTCACTAAATTTTCAAATATGCACTGAGGGCGCAAATTATTCATATTAAGAGGTATTTTATAAAGATACATTTAAAAAACAAACAATGTCAGTACTTGATTTCTACCCTCACTATGCTGTGTTGAGTTTATTTTATGCGACAATAAAAAAGCAACTATTCGTTATCTCTTATAAAATAAGCTAAATTGGAAGGTCTAGGATGAAATTTCAGTGATAAATCTCAGTTATTGTGTCGGGTACACATGTGAAAAGCACTTTAATAAAAACGCCTGTATATTTTTCGTGTAAATGCGCGGAGGGTGCGGAGGGTGTGCGTGATACGCGACGATGTGACATCGTGGCTTGATAAGCGTGATTGATGACGTCAGAATTGCCGAGTATACACACGGAACGACAGAACGACATAGAGTTTAACGATTTGTTGAGCCTCAGAAATTTTTAAATTTTTTACTTACCCTTACAGAAAGATCTTATGTTCCGTTGACAGTCCCTTACTATCTTATATTGTTTCAAGTTTATTGGTAGGTAATAGAAATTAAATATATCAACCTACAAATTTATTTGTGATAAAAACAACTCTAATTATTTTTGCTGGGATTTGAAGATTACACGTTATTCTAGTAAAACAAAGACGGAGCGAGAAATGGATTTTAAAGAATGCCAAAATATTTTTTTTATTACGCAATCCAAACACACATTAAAACACAAATTATTACACCGCCATACAACCTATCGAAAGTCCACTGCTTAACATATCCTCCCCCATGCCTCATAGGAGCGATATTTGCCATAGTTGCCAGTTGCTACGCTTGGCAGGTTATTAGGAAGATGCTGCTGTCCATTTCCTGTTTCATTTCTCTGTTTCGCTTCCCACTACACCTACGGAATTACAGTAGAAAATTCTCTTACACCGCCATCACTCGGTGACACGGACAAGCAATTAAAAGATAAAATTATGCCATCAAAAACATAACTTGTAATAAAAACCAAGTCTCGCAACTCAGTTCTTCTACCGTAAAAAGTTGTGAGATCCATGTAATATCAAGTCGGTTAATTTATTCAGTCCCTACTTAAGGCTCCTTCTGTCGTAAGTTATTATGTAATTAGCTAACCTAACAAAATCATATAGTGACCACATCAATACTAAAAATCTTTTATATTTTAAATAAATAGATTTACTTGGCCATCGCATGAAAACACAATGTATCTCTCAAGTTATACATTTTATATTAAATTAGATTGTTTAGTGCGATTGCCAAGTCAATTTATTGCAGATATTTTAGTCGTATAACGAAATTATGTCATTTATGTACATTACAATTAAAATTATGATTTATGTAGGTATATTCCAATAAATATTTATGGGTTCGTTACTGGAATAACGTAATCTAAAGGAGATTAGAATGGATTCCCTAGCATCTTAAAATTGGCAAATCCCCGGATAAGGACGGAACTACAGTAGAACTTTTTAAAACGAGAGGCAAACTGATACTTAGAATCATTCAGAAGGCAATCAATCCGTCGCGCAACGTGGCGCTACTCTAAAAACGTGAAACAAGATTGCGCTGGTTATGTTCTTCAAGAAAGGCGATAACGCTCATTTACTTTCTTGTCGGTATTTGTTGGGAACAATAGGCTCGAAGTTTTCGATGAGTATGTTTACCTAAAACAAATTATCCAACGAGGCAAGTTCAACTTCGACCAAGAGGTCAATCGACGGATCCAATTCGTCTAAGCCCGCGTTCGTAAAATTACAACAAATTTTTTCGTCGCGTATTCCGTAAAAAATACGAAATCAAGAGTGTATACTACTACCCGGTGCGTGTTGCTACTTGTGGCATATGCGTCTGAAACGCAGTCTTCACCGCTAGCTTTCATTGTGATAAAATTCGCTGTAAAGATATCAGCAGTAGAACCAGAGTAAATCACATAGCACAATGGATCAGTAAGCTGAATTAGCAAAAGATGGGCTTTATAGGTCAAAGAATCGATAAGCGATGGGGAAGAGAGGTTCTCGAGTAGCAGTCATACCTGTAAGCGAAGTGGTAACACATGCAAGAATGGAAAAGGATGTAGTGATGACGATGATGATGTTGATGATTTATGCTTTCATCATAACCTATACTAAATCAAAAAAAATCTGCATGTCGTAGGACAATACATGTACGGGGCTAACAGTACATAAAATAACATTCCATCACATTTATGTTTGTATAAATTATAGTTTTGCGTGCGACATTTTTGTCCTTGTGACATAAAATATGGACTACCCTGATAAATAACAGACTTCTCGCATTATATGACTACATTCTTTATCTTAATTCAATGCAATTCATTACAAATTGAAATTAATGCTAAATTAAAATTAAATGCTTAATATTTCATTTTACCCTTTCAAATATAATGAAATTGTATATGATTAGTAATAATCGCTTAAAAAGATATAATTACGTAAAATTCATAGATATATTTTCCTTATAGTCCGACATTACTCCGCGTGATTACTACGTCGATCTGTTTTTGAATGGTAATACAAATTTATGAACAATATTCTTAATGCGCTTACATAGAATACCAGCGTAAAATAGCAGCTTAACAGTGATGTGTTTCGTAGGGTGAGTGTAGAGAACCGGACACCCTTTTCACCGGAATAGAGGCATTCCATCTTAACCCTCACGGGTGACAACGCATCTGCATTTTGATATGAGAGTATAGATGTAGATGTCTATGGGCACTAGCACTAGCAAACACTTACCATCAGGTGTGTTTAAGCAATTGGTGTGTGTTCTTGAAAACCGTGGATTTAGAGACTGATAAGGAGTAATTCTTCCAAAATAAACCCACAATTAAACGATATATGTCTTTCATGACTTTGACATGTCTTTTCTTGACCATACACAATGATATTATGATATATTAAATGTATCGCTCAACAACACGCTTGCCTAGAGTGGTATGAGAACCTTTCCACGTGTGATATACTTGTTTTTATAGGATAGGGTGACAAACTAGCACATAGTCCACCTGATGGTAAGTGGTTGATGTGACCCATAGACCACCCGTGAGGGTAAAGATGGAATGCCTCTTTTCCGGTAAAAAGGGTGTCCGGTTCTCTACACTCACCCTACGAAACACAACAGTGTTAAGTTGCTATTTTACGATGGTATTCTGTGTAAGCGTGGTCCTTTCCCGGTCGAGCTGACCTATTCGCGCTGCAACTATACTACTATTATAGCTGCATCATGTCTCTACCACGTATAAAACTACTTATGTTACATGACTACAAACTTCAAAAACGGAATAACTTAAGTTATATCCATCCATCCATCCATTATCATTACAGTCCACTCCTGAACATAGGTCTCTCCAAAGATTGCCTCATAAGTGAGATATTTGCGATAATTGCCACGTTTGACAGGTGGGTTGGCAACTGCATTTTTTTATAATTTTGAGATGTTATCAGGAAGATGTTTCTGCCAATATTCTAGTTTGTTTCCCTCGGTCGCCTCTCGACACCCACGGAACTATATAGAGTAGTGGATATTCTTACACCGCCACTACACGCTATAATATTTAAGCGGTTATCTCTAGACAAACATGACACACTTCTTTCATCGATTATTATTTCTATACTAATGAAAACAGCATATTTAAACGTTATTAAATTTATATAAATAAATAATGAAAGTGTAATTGAGAACGAATTAAAATTAAATTCATTTTCATTTGTTGCAGATATGTCTCGGAGTTCTGCGATCGTCTTAGCGCTGTGCGCAATGGCCGCGGTTTGCATGCTGCCAGTTTCAAATGCACAAGTACTGTCGCAGTATGATGGTAAGATGAACTCTATAGGAAATTTAATCTAGATCCCGGACTTCGACCCGGGATTCAAACACTGAGTTTGAGCACTGGCCGAGCCGGTTTAAATCAGTTTCTCTCTGTACGTGACGAGCCGCCAATGCTCCTCAAGCTTGTAGTAGTGTAATTATCATAGCGCGGTTGTATGAAGCTTTGTCTCTGTACGGTCCGGTTTTTTACTCATGAGATTTTACAGCGCACGCACTCATTCGTAAGGGTCTATCGGTAGGCAAAAACGTTGTTGTCCATAAATGATATTCAATTTGGGATAGCTTCAAATAAAATTAGAAGCCTTATTTACGAATTTTCAAAAACCGCAATAACGGTATATTAATAGTATTTATTATTTGAACTTATAAATTAGCTATAATTAAATATTAAAATAACCCTATACATTATGTATTTCATTTATTCATCTATTAGAATATATCAAAGTCCACTGCTGAACATTGGCCTTCATATAGTATTCCTCATAAGGAAGATATTTGCCATAGTCGCTATGCTTGGCAGGTGAGTTGGCAACCGCAGTTTTATTTTTTAGTTGCGTAAGGATAACGCTGCTGCCAATATCCTGGCTTGTTTCCGTCTGTCGACGGACACCCACGGTACGATATAGGGTAGTAGATCTTCTTAGACTAGGAAGTTTTCGACTAAGAATACAAATTCACATGCGTTTTCACTCTTATGGACTAAGATGCAATGTCTCGTTTCCAGTAAAAATAGGTCTCCGTTCTCTACACTCACCATACGAAAAATAGCAGCATTAAGCTATTATTTTACGCTAGTATTCTGTGAGAGCGTGGTCCTTTCCCGGTCAAGCCGACTATGGCAAAACCCGAGGAAAAAGAGATATATGACGCAATCTGGATAGGCCTATGTTCAGCAGTGGACTTTTAATAAGCTGTAACGATATCAATTCTTACTTCAAGAATTTCATATTAATAGTCCAAAGAAAGAACGTAACATATCAGTATAATATAAGTTTCTTGTGTGTTCTTTTTTTAAATGTACATAAAAAAATCTTGAAAATGGATTCACGATACGGTATTTAATATTGAAAATGAAATACGTGACTGTACAAATAAAGCAATTACAAAGAAGTCGTCTTCAAAGTACAGAGTTCATAAGACTTAATAAGATATCTGTGCGGCGTTAAATCCATTCACCGCTATCATGTGCCAGCGAAGTGAATATATAAGAGTGCACACATACATATTACATACATTGTGTAAACCACTTGTAATACTACATGCATTGTATCACACCAGCGACCCGCCTTTCGAGCTCGGGGCCTCAAAGCTTTGCTCTGGTAACACCACATAAGGGTAGCTTTGAGTATCTCCGATCTTATGACCGATCCGTCCTCATCTCGCTGATATTAACATCTTGAACGTTCAGCTATCACCAGAAAGATAGTTAAATCGAGTTCAGTTATGATATAATCAAAATGCAGACTCTTTTTAGGGCTCCCAGTTTCAAAAGGAAAAACAGCTCACTCTATTGTTGTCCTTCCTTGCGTCTGTCCGTCGGTCCACACTTTTTTTTCAGGAACGTGTAAAGTTATCAATTTGAAATTAATGTAAAAACTAAAGTTTACGGTTCTTTAAATATGTTAAAAATACAAGCTCCTTAGTCATCGCTTTCAAAAGATACAGCCATTTATGTCACTCTATAATAACTCGATCTCATTTATGTAATTTAAGATACTCGCGAACTATCACGTTACGTTGCGTTACGTTAAAATGGTTACGTTTACTATTTACCGCAGTTTTTATTATTTTGAGTTGTAGCTGGAAGATACTACAGCCCATTTCTTGTTAAAGTTTCCCTCTGTCGCCTCATACGGGATCCATGGAATAATACGAGGTAATAGATTCTTTTATACCGGCACTACACGACAATAATATATATATATTTTATTACTATCGATCCGTCCCGGCTTCACATGGGTGGTTTTTGGATCTCGACAACAGTTCCACCTACCGGGTCCAATTGTGAATCTAAACCATCCACACAAACACACAAATAATTTCATCAGAATCCGTCGAGCCAGTTTCGAGTTTTAGCGAGACTAACGGACAGCATTTGATTTTTATATATAGAGATAATTAATATATTTCATTAATATCAATATAATATACAGAATATTACTTCATAAAATTATGTGAAACTAACTTTTACTTTACACTAATAAAGTGTACAGTTTCTACTTCGACCCGAATGCAACTTTAGTATCAACTTTAGCCGTTTACGGAACAAACGTATACGTTCTTAGGGTTACAAAGTTTCAATAGTTGTTTATATCAGCCTGTAGCTTACATTGTGATAATACATTATTTTTAAATATATGTAGACATTATTGCTTTGTGGAATTCTTTGGGGGAGGTCTATGTTCAGCAGTGGACATGTGGCTCCATCTAACGCAGCGTAAAGTAACCAGTTTCTGCAACGAATTTTGCATTTTAAGGACTGTACTGAAAAAAATGTGTGCCACAAATAGGTAACTAATCTATTTATAAAACATATTAGGTCAGACGGGCCTAATCTGGTGAGTACGGCAGTTAATCGATGACATTTGTAGCGTTTTTGGCCTAATTTGGCCATAAAATCTATATACGAAAGTTCCAGTATTCTATAATCGATTATCATCATCATTACATCCTTTCACAAGTCCACTGCTGAACATAGCCCTGAGCCACCTGCATCCATCGACATGTCTTACCAGATCGTCACTCCATCTTGTGCGAGGTTGTCAGTCCTTCAAGCTATATGGCTGGCCCAAAGCCACTTCAGCATACTAATCCGTTGGGCTATGTTCGTTACTCTGCTTTTATTGAGGATATTCTACAATGATCGTCTATATTTAAACCACAAATTCCCGATATTTTATGACAGAAAATCTATAAAAAGATAAAGTGTATTGTATAAAGTAATACTTTATTAGCATAGTTAAATTGTTTCAGCTAAATCGATTTAAAAAGTTTGCATGTTAGCCATAAGCTCATTCAACGACTAGAGTACCGTTTAAGCAGTATACATATTGAAATAAGTTAGCGACTACCTGTATTCTCTACCGACTAGTCGAGACGGCTTGTACATACTTGTTCGTAATTTACACATAATATTAAAGAGATAGACTGTTGAAAACTGGGCCACATTATTATGTCACGCAGATGCGAGGCTGAAAGACACGACTATAATCTATGCATATAAATAAAATTTAAGTGTCTGTGTCTGTAATATCCAACTAAGAGTATTTTATCGAGCTTAGGTTTTTTTTATATTTTCATGATAAATGAAAAATGTTTGTCTGTCTGTCTATCCATCTGTCCGGTATTTTTTTTTTGTTGAACCCATAATGATAAAACTTCACGAACACAGAGAGCAATGCCAAGAGTGATATTTTATTTGATAACTTCCTGACTCCGGGGTGCTACTTATATTTTTCACAAATATATCGCGTATAATACATACAAAAAAGAACATACTATCCACTTGAGAGTTTGTTCCTTTTTTTAAGTCGGCTAAAAGGTGCTCAGTTTGGCAAATTTTGGCATTAAATGCTGATGATATTGACACGTCCACGAGAGTAGAGCCGCGCAAAAATCTAGTAATATTATAAATTGATGTATTTTAATTTACAACTGGTAGTAGTCCCTTTTAAATGCTAATTATAAACTTTAAAGACTGCTCTAGACCATGATAGCATCTTGATTTATCGTTATTTGTATCGTTTCCCTTTTTAATTAAGTGAGATTTAGTGTTAATACCTTTTTAGATAATTATCTCATTTAGTACCTACTTTTAAAATGTGATTTTATTTTATTGTATAATAATACATTTATGCACAAGTAACAAAGAGAAAAAAACCGAAGACGTAAATTTCGCCAAAATCATTGGGGCCTCGAAGCGCACACGATTATGCCATATTATTGTATAATATTTTACTATATTTTGTATATGAATGTAATTACTTTATAATTTATATTAATAAAAGTACTACTAAGTGCTATTTCATTTATTGTTATTGTTAATTTTCATAATATGTCAGAATTGAAGTCTATTTAAATAAGGTTGCTTTCTTGGTTATTGTTCTGCGGAAGAAAATAAGCTCTTGGAGATTTAAATGTCATTCAAACAAACATACGTATTTGTGTTAATGTCCACAGGTGGTGCAGTAAGCGAGAGTCAGGGCTGGGACGCGTTGGGTGGCCTGTACGCACTGCTGGCCCAACACGACGCGTTGGACGGACACGCACTGGCGCGTAAGTCCGTGCGCTCACCCTCGCGCCGTCTTCGCTTCGGCCGTCGCTCCGATCCTGAAATGCCCGCTCAGGCTCCGGTAATACCATAATTTATAATATTTTTTATGAAAGTTACGACTTTCCTTTATTTGATTGCGACTTTGAGTAACTTAAGTACCTGTTTAATACAAAAACAATCATCATAATCAGTTTACAACTGACGAAGACATTACATTCAATACATTCAGAAAATTAATACACCGTAATTGAAAACCTCATTACTTTTAAATCGCTTAAAAAGGGGCTCCAGTTATTCTCACTCATCATCGAAACAGCAGCAATATTTAAAAACATGATATCAGCTTATCAAAAGTTCACTGCTGAACATAGGCCTCTCGATAGATTGCTTCATAGTAGGAATGTTTGTCATAGTTGAGCCAAGCTGCAGCTATATTATGGTTGCAGTACGTTCGCGTCATCTCGAACAAGTATGAACCCTGCTCCCACAGTATATCAACTTGAAACATCTTAGTCCCCAGCCATAACAACGAATCTGCATTTTTATTTTTAATGGACTATAGATGTAGATGTCTATGGGCCGCAGCATCCTACCTTCAGATATAGATAAAAATAAAAAGTTCAAAAACGCACGTTAACACGCTCGTAATTAAATACTATTTCAGATTGTCTTGGGTTTTAAATGAGTTTCTGGTTTTCATAGAAATAAAAATCATTTAATACAAACACAAACTTTTTGAATGCAAAAAACTTAATTTAGCTAAACTAATATGTACCTTTAGTTTCTAGTGATTTTCGTGTGTTCGGGGTTTATGGGAAATACCAGAAGAATCTCATAGCTTGCTATAGATGGCTGTATGATCATCTCGTTTAAGACAGACGTAAAGTACCCAGCTGAACGAGAGGGAACTGCGTCAAAGGCGCAATACGCCTGGTACCCTATCAAGCATGGCGACTAAAGCTAAACCTCCGTAACTGTGGCTTATATCCAGCAGTAGACTTTGACGAGCTGATAATGAACGTGTATTCATTTTTTCACTAGGATTTTATTCTTTATCGTGGATATCCAAACCAATTTGGCTATGTAGGCCATAAACTATACACCGCACAAGAATTGAACTTGTAGCCAGCTATACCACAACTAAATGCTTAGCCACTGCGCTAACAAGCCGTCATTTTTTATATATGGAATAAGGGTGACAACGAGCACACAGCTCACCTGATGGCATGTGGTTGTGGTTCATAGACATTTACATGTATCCTTAATTAAGAAATAAAGCTCAGTTGTCACCTCTGAGGGCTAAGATAGAATACCTAGTTCTCTGCACTCACCAAAAAAAAAATTATAGGACTATAAACTGCTATTTTACGCTGGTATTCTGTGAAAACATGGTTGAATGCTGCAGCATGGCTCTACCACGTAAAATATTGCAATATGCATATAATGAATGAATGAATCGATTAAAGAAAGAATTATATTAATATCTCTTTTAGAAAAGATTTTTATTGCCTGATACAGTTGAATTACATAATATCTTTAAAAAGATTTCTATAAAGTTCTATTCCAACCGCAAACGAAAGAACATGTTAAAAGTAACGGCTGAAGCACGAACAACAAGTGGGCGTCTCCCTCGGTTTCACACTAATATCCACATAAAGATGATCCTTTTTTGCTCCATTTAACGAAATCCGGGGTTTTAAACTCCATTACACCACATTATGACGTACCGAATTTATTCTCTGTGATTTTTTTTTCAGAATTTTAAAATTACACTACCTAATAATATTGATAGAGCTTTAAGAAAAAACGTTCTGATGTAACAGTAGTCTATACTTAATACTTTGTACGATTTCTTGTAAAGAACATGTACACAATATGTACCTTATGTTAATAAGAATATAAAGTAGTATGTAGTTCGGTACTTTGGACGTCCATCCACCTCTTAAGTGTGGCCGATATGGTAACTCCTCCCTACATTGGCTCTCCTATTGGCCGACGTACACCATGAATTGTCACTTGCAACATGTATCATGCATTAGTGTTAGATACGCTTAAAATTTTCAAGCACTTTAAGTTTTAAAAATATCTAGTAACATTTTTTATAGGATAAGGGTGATAAACGAGCACAGTCCACCTGACGGTACATGGTTGCTGTGGCTCATAGACATCTACATCTATCTTCGATTACGAATCAAAATGCAGTTGCGTTGTCACCCGTGAGGACTAAGATGAAATGCCTCGTTTCCAGTAAAAAAAGTTCTCCGGTTCTCTACTCTCACCACACAGCAGCGTTAAGCTGCTATTTTAGCTGCTGGTATTCTGTGAGAGCGTGGCATAATATAGCTGCAGCATGGCTCTACCACGTATAAAATATATAAATATATTTTACTCAACTTATTATACTCTGAGCTGTTTTTGTTATTTTCTTCTGTAATGTATCTTTTATAAGCCATAAGCATAGTTTTACCAAATTTGGTTATCCTTATAAATTTTAAGCTTCCATACATTTCATATTTTTAGTATATAGAAATACTAGGCAATCCTAATGTTTAGAACAGAATTCAGTTGAATTAGGTTCTAAACAGGTATTCCAGATTACTTGATGAATGATAAGCTGTACAAATTGTGGCTAATTTTATCATAATTAAATATTCAGTTGCAATGGAACCTGCCATTGTTAGTGCATTCAATGAAATTTAATTTCAATCGCCTTTATTATCTGCTTGTTTTAGTGTTTATATCATTGTTATATATTATAGGCCACGTTTGGAAGACGAGTTGGTAATCGCAGTTTTTTTAATTATTTTTATTTTTTATCAGAAAGACACTGATTGTCATCTATTTTTTCATTTCCCTCCATCGCCTCTTACGATTTCAGACTTTCTACTTATTGGTCTGAATTTACGACACGTACGGGATGATATCAGGTATTGGATTGTCGTTCTACGTCATTACATGGCGTATTGTTACATATATTTTATCTCTTATTTTTTTTTTAGATTGACGAGATGGAAGAGCTTGTTATGCGGGACGTACGCACGCCTGTCCGCCTCCGCTTCGGACGCAGGTCTGACGAGCGTGCCGTTCCCCACATCTTTCCCCAGGAGGTAACTCACTAACTAACGATAGTAAGAAAACTAATAATTATCTTAAAGTGTTAATTGGTTTATTACTTGGAATTTTTGATTAATATGCAATATAGGTTAAATCCACAAACTAATAAGAAGTGCTAGATTTATATATATCGAAGTTAAAAACTAATTCACAACATAAAGTAATAATATTATGTTAGGATCAGAAATTTAATGAATTTATTTCGTATGAAAACCGAAAACTATTCAAACTGAAAAAATTTAGCCGTATGGTAGCGGTGAAACAAATGCCATTTCGTTCCGCAAGTATTTTAAAAGGCCACTATGGAAAATACCAGAAAATTTATATCATTCGTTAGATGTAGCGATATAACTATCTCGTTTACACCAGACCTATTTAAGTCTAGTGTAAAGGAGATAGTTATATCGCCACAGGTATTTAATTTACCTGGACCGGTGACGGGAGAGGCCCATGCTAATAAAGTATCAAAAAATGTATTGAGTACTTTTAGTCTCTGACAATGGAGAACTTAATTTCCCCTATATATCAATTTAGTATTTTATGAAGCATCTGTAGCCTCCTTTGTTTGAAGTTGTCTGATGGTGACTGTGTCCTGCCACACATCACTTACCACAAGGTAGATAGTTTGTTTGTCACTTCAATGTTATAAAATAAAATATAAAAAAAAATATTTCACGACTGAGTAAAAGAATGTACCTACAGAGTATAGTGGTACTAGGTAGTGGTAGTTGTATTACTTATCCATTTAGCCACTGACCACTGAGTAACTGTTAACCTATAATTGTTTCCGGTTTGAAGTATCACTTACATATACGGGGAAAAGCGGCATATTATCCTTCCTTGTTTAGATACTGCGAGTGTTAATAGGCCGCTTTAAAATCAGGTGAGATTTATGACCACTCCATAGGTCGTACATTCTTTTGTCACTTTAATTAAAAATGTCTAATTATCGTCGCGCTACTTCATAATATATTATTTCTTAGATATGCTGGTTTCCTCACTTTAATCAGCTTAAAATTTTGATTAAGAATTTCATGTTTTCATAGTCGTTAGTAACATTAATAATTTTTTTTACAAGGCAGTAACTGCACGTCAACGTATTATGTACAAACGTCCACACAAGCTGCGTAAGACACGTATTGATCCACAGATAATAAAATTCCTGATGTGGTGTAAAGCCGCAGAATGAACTTATTCGCCCTAACAAGCCACTATTCTCCTTGTTACGACAATCGACTTGTTTTACGACGAATGGCCCTAATGCTATATTCTCGTGACCTGAAAACAGAAACTACGTCTTGATACTAAATAGGACCTATACTCGTAATTTTTTTAAGTCGTATATTGTAAATTTAAAATTAATCGCATAATATATAAGACAATATACTGCTCGTATATTAGCTCTGAGTGCCAATTCATTTTTCTAATTACTAATCTGAATATATACATATCAACAGAATCAAGGGATACCTTAATCCTAAATTATTTACGACTTTATAGTTTAAAATCTTTTTAGTTTCCATAAAAAGTTTAATACAGATTAAAAACTCTTTTATTCTTTTTTCAAAATTTAAAAATGTAAATATAAAAACAAAATACGGCGGCAAAATTGTGAGTAATTCCTTACGTCCATGTTACGTCAAGGAAAATTAAAATTGTTCTACTGATATTAATTAATGAAAAGGGATTAGATGGTTTTTCTTTTTTAATTTAACGTGTCGTGTGAGCTTTAAGAGTCATGTTAAATCGTCATTTGAGTCGAGATGAAATGTTACGAGCCGTGGGCATGTTAGAAAATGGTGCTATTGAACGCGTCGTTGCTGAGGCCCTACACACCAACCAAAACGTGATATCAAAGTTGCGCTCACGTTATCGCAGTACTAGGGATGTGGCTGAATGGCACACTGGTAGATATCGTATTACAACGCAGAGACAGGATCGATTTCTCCAAATGACAGCCAGAATACAACCTAATATCACAGCGATGTAACTACTACAAAGGCTACAGGAGGACCACCAGATGCTCGTAAGCGACAAAACCGTGCAAAGGATGTTATATGAAGTTTGTCTCCATACTCAAAGACTGCTATGTGTACCGGCATTGCGACGTGGCAATCGCGGTCGGCGGCTTTCGTGGGCTCGGGAGCATTTACCATGGAGTGACGAACAATGGTCTTTGGTGCTGTTCACCAATGAGTCCCAGTTGGAGTTTCATCCGGATTTACGAAAAATACACGTTTGGAGAACTCCAGGGAGAGGCACCCTCAGGAGGTCCACTCATACCAAGGCGGGACAGTCAAGTGTGGGCAGGAATTCGTCTTGGCGGACGAACACGGCTCGTTTGGATCAAAGGCAGCATGACTGCACAGAAATATCACGAGGAGGTAGTAGACCCTGTTGTTGTCCCACACAGAATCCAAATGGGCCAGGAATTTCTACTCATACACGATAATGCTCCTTCCATATGGAGCAGCTGGTGTCGGCCGCTATACGAGATCACGATATTCAAGTAGTGGATTGGCCTGCATAGTCGCCCGACTTAAATCCTATCGAGCGTGCTTGGGACATGTTATAACGAAAAGCTTTGAGAGATTTCCCGCCAAATTTGACGACGGAACAACAACTTTACAAACACTTGCAAAGAACATGAGACCTCATACCGCGACAAGACATTGACAATTTAATTTTAAATGTGAAAAATCAATGTCGATGTGTAATTAATGTAAGAGGAGAAACACTGATTATTAATGATTAGATTTTATAAGATTTTTATCAATTTTAATTAAAATTAATTGTTTTGAAAATTAGTATGATAAAGAAATGAAGTCTTTATCTGTGATTAAAAAAATCAACATTTTTATTTAAAGCAAAAAAATTACGAAATGATTTTTATTTTTTATTAAAGACCTTAAAATAACCTATCATTCTCCTATTTACTATATCAGAAAATTCTTCATAGATTTTTAGATATTTGATGAAATATATAATATTCCTAGATTCTGTTGTAAGTGTTTAAGCTAAATGTCTTTTAATTTTAGCATCGCTTTATGCTATACCACTTTTTTCATTTTAGGATGGGTTTCGGCGCAGCAACAAAATAAGCCACGTTGTTTTAGTTCTTGTTTACGAACTTCACACGTGGTAGAAATATTATTAATTTGCATGTCGTCATCTCATTTATTCAGACTTATGATGATGGATTTGGATGGATGGAATGATGATCTGCTAGCGTTTTCCATCGGGACGGAACCGTACCATGTAGTGTGTCGGTGTAAGACTATCCACTACCCTATATCGTCCCGTGGGTATCGTAAGAGGCGACAGAGGGAAACAAACCAGGAAATGGGTGAGAACAAGTTGCGTCTTTTTGATAACAACTAGAAAATTAAAAAAAAAAACTGATGTTGCCAACCAGCCAGCCAAGCGTAACAAAATCGAAATCCATTATAATGGGGTTGTTATAAACTAATTTGCTTAATTCCGCGTAAAGAAAGAAAATGATGTGTCTAAACCTCCCACCCTCCCTCAATCGCGCGCACTATACCCCTCGCCGTTAATCCCAGCTGGAGGGTGGTAGTGGGAGCAAATTAGTTTATAACAACCCCATCGTAGCAACTATGGCAAGTATCCACCTTATAAGGACGAGAAGACAAGAGACGATAATTCAGCAGTGTACTTTTATAGGCTGTTATGATGGTGATCATGATAATGATGAGGGGACAAATTTGTTGATTTTATTACACAGCCACCACATGGCACACTGTTTATTATTAATGTATTCTTAAACTTGTATTATTACATGCAGTTAACTGTGCATGATATACAATAGCTCTTTGTATTGTAACAGGACCAGGATCGTTCTGTGCGTGCTCCGTCTATGCGTCTTCGATTCGGCCGTCGCTCTGACAACAACATGTTCTTGCTGCCCCTTGAAGTAAGTTTTAGAGTTCAATATATATAGTATATATAGTATATAGTATATATAGTCTCATGCGGAACACAAGTAGTCCAATCTTTATTTATAAACCTGATGTCACAAACAAACACAGTCCACCTAATTATAAGTGATTATGGATACCTACAATCAACGTCAAATAAAGAAGACTACAGATTCGTTGTAATCTCGAGTACCAAGATGGAATGCCTCACAGTATGTAATTAAAATAAATACTGTTTCTCTACACCCGTTGGACGGGAACACAGCAGTGCAAGCACTGCTAGTTAACGGCAGACATTGGTAAGATGGTGGTACCTACACAAAGGGACTTCTGGGCACAAAAGTAGTCCTACTCTACCAACTTAGTATATTACTTACCTATTTAGTAAATTAATGTATAGTAAGGTACGTGAGGGTAATATGGTCACCTTACGCTTTGCCGTCCTACAAAACCAAAATTAGAAGGAGGACAGAGATAATAATTTAAAATTAAAAATTTTGTACAACCGACTTCAATATAAATTATTAAGAATAACTAAAATACTATTGGTCAGACCTCGATCAAATTATATGAATATGAGACCACATGTGAAGCTCCAGCTTTCAAATACAAAAAGAATCATCGAAATCGGTTCACCCCGTAAAAAGTTATGAGGTAACACAGATAAAAAAATATATACAATTGAATTGAGTACCGTCTCCTTTTTGAAGTCTGTAGAAAACAAAAAGTCATATACTAAAACTAATACAATAGAAGAAATCTAAGAAAAAATAGCAAACTAACTTTGGCAATAAATAAATAATAGGAATTTCAAAGAATAAGTTATAAAAAAATTAACTACATTACGCAATTACTAAAATAGACTAAAATATTTACTATAATATCAACTGTCAAAATGGCATCGATAAAGCAGCGCCCTTTTGACCCTTTATTATTTTATTGACTATTGTAGAGCTATCGTATCACAGAGCCATCTATGCAAACAAGCCTGTAGTTTTTGAATTACAAGAAAGTGAGCATATTACCCTCACATACTATATTATAAAAGTTACAGTTTTAATGCATTTAGTTTTCCTACCGAATAACTTTCCAAGTTCAGAAGTGTCATAACTGAGAGGATTGGAACATAGACGAAGACGCTATTGAATTATGATGTGAATATTACCTACTTACAAGATTTATTTATCATAATCGTATTTTTTCCGTGTTCCAGTCTACTCTGCCTAAGGAAGTGAAAGCCAGCGGCTCTGCGGAAGATGACAGACAACAGAACTAAATGTAACGCTTGTAACCACTATTTAATACGACTGCATCTTACCGCTCCATTCAAAGTATTGTCAGTCGGTTATAATGAAGCAAGCTATATACCCGCTACGTACATACTACATGTCAAATTTTAAATATCAATTTTTAGGTCTTATTCTATTAAAAGATATATAAGCTATGTGTACATAATCAAATAGTGTAATGTTGTTACAAGATTACGTAAAACTTCGTATCGTCTCTCACATGAACTTTTACGTACTAATATATATAATAATTTTACGTACAACTTAGCCACTGGTTATATTTTTTATCATCGAATTAATCTATAGTCTAATGCTACCAGTTTTCTTTTGTAAGTTTAATAAAGAATCTCATGAAACAATAATTATTTTTCCTCAATATGCCTACAGCAGCGAAGAGTGGTACATTTTAAGAGCTGGGCAAATGTAATACTCTTGCGCTCTACTTTCACAGCATATTGCAGACCCATTTAATTATGTTTCTTTCTCAATTGGTTCACCAAATACTAATTAAAATGAGAGTTTGCAATGTGCGGTATTCTCCCTTACATAAACGTACAAATATCTTTGTAAATTAATTATTTGACGTATTGTTCAATTGTATATCAAAGCATATATTTAATTATAAGCGTAGTAAATGTATGTTTAATTTTGTATAGTTACTATAGTGCAATTGATGAGTTGAAATAAATAAAAAGACATTTAATGAATTTTCATTTTAACTTTTTTACACACTAAGCATTATATCCATCCATCCATTACAACCTATAAAAGTCCACAGCTGGATTTTGCGAAAGCTTCCACGCTCGGCAGGCGGGCTGGCAGCTGCAGCCATTATTTTGAGGGAGACGCTGCTGCCCATGTCCTGGTTTTGTTTTCTTATGTCACCTTTTACGAAACCCTCGGAATGATATGGGGTAGTGGATAAGAATATCCACTACCCAATATATACATCGCCACTATACGGTTAACATCAAGCTTTATTCTACAGTAATTAAATGGTTTTATTTTGATACACTACATTTTTTAAATATATATCTAATAATTTGAATAAAAATTAATAAAAAAACTTTCATGTGTTTTCTCTTTTTTTTTAAATATGTGATGTGGCGACATTAGCTGGTATGACTTCTAAGCAAATATAAAGTGGACAATAGTTACTGAGATTCGTGTCAATTAAAATATTTTTCTAGGCTGTAAAGGCGAAGCTTGTGTATAAAAATGATAATGTCCTTCAGACACAAATTCAGTCGTGGCGGCCTGTCTCAGCAGCAACAGATTTGCGCAGGACAGGATTATAGTGCCCAAGTGTATGCGCAGACACAAGTGCACTCTCTATTCCCCCACACTCATAGTCCGTTGGGACCGACACGACCGGAGAGAGATCAGACGCAAGACTTGACTTGCTTATCAAGGGAAATTATCTGAGTTATACATACATAACAACATAACATAATCTGTTGTATAATGTCTTGCATTTGAAATAATAACCAGACCAAGTTTTGAAACAGTAAAAGTTGAAAATTGAAATAATATGATTTAGTTATTAATTAATTATGTTATCATCCATAAAGTAACACGGGCCACTGACGCGGCGGGACGGGTTACTCCAGCGGTATCATCTAATTAACAAAAGGCTTTGTTTATATATAAGGTAATAAACAGGTTATAAACAGTTCAGTTAAAAATAGTTCTAAACCGTTTGGAAAATCCAAAATAAATCACCAATTTTCAACGTGGTAGAGCCATGCTGCAGCTATATTACTAGTATAGCTGTAGCACGAATGGGTCGGCTCGATCGGGGATAGACCACGCTCTCACAGAATACCAGCGTAAAATAGCAGCTTAATACTGCTGTGTTTCGTATGGTGAGTGTAGAGAACCTGAGACCCTTTTTACTAGAAAAGAGGCATTCCATCTTAGTAATCGTGGGTCACAACGGATCTGTATTATGATTCTTTATTGAGGATAGATGTAGATGTCTATGGGTCACAACAACCACTTACCATCAGGTGGGCTGTTTACTCGTTTGTTACCCTATCCTTAAAAAAAAATCGATTACACAAAGTATAAAATCGATATAGGCTGTATGGTACATTCGTATGAAAGCGTATTTAAATTTTTAATAGCTATAAAGTTTATAAAACTTGAAAATTATTTTATTAACAAACGACGCGTCTTAGGCTATATATGTGAAATAGGAAACCAGTTTACGTAATTCTGAAGCTAATAAAAAATCCCGGTCTCGATACGTCATTTCTTTTTTTCGGGAGTTATCGTGACCACATACAAAATCAACATTCGGTCGTACGTCCACGTAAATTTTTTTTCAAACCTTTTGTTATTTATTTATTTTTTTTTTATAGGAGAGGGGGCAAACGAGCATGCGGCTCACCTGATGGTAAGTGACTACCGCCGCCCATGAACAACCGCGACACCAGGGGAATTGCAGATGCGTTGCCGGCCTTTTAAAAAGGAGTAGGCTCTTTTCTTGAAGGTCCCTAAGTCGTATCGGTCCGGAAAAATCGCTGGTGGTAAACTATTCCACAAGGAAGTTGTGCGAGGAAGAAAACATCTTCTAAATCGCACAGTGGTGGACCGCCAATCATCCAGATGGTGTGGATGGTATCGGGAGTTCTGCCGCGATGTGCGTTCGTGAAATTTGGCAGCTGGGATTAATCCGAACAATTCCTCAGAGCACTCCCCACTCCCCACTCCCACTCACTTAACAATTTATGTACACACAAAATAATGTAACAATGAAGAAAAAAAAACGATATTTTATACAATATTTTGTTATCAAAGTAGCAACATAAAATATTTTTTTTAGAAAATATAAGATTGATTAATCAGTGTTTGCTTGATATATGGCTACCCATATTATCGTATAAATGCAATATGGTTATGATAGAGGCATTTTAAGACCACAAAATTGCTTGACCTTAACGTGTCGAAAGTAATACACTACCTAATAACGCTTCGCGTTATGAGGTGTGCAATAAAGAGTGGATAAATGCCGCTGGTTTAGCATCGTAGTAAAAAAATTGTGTTCGAATATTTCGTTCTACTCGTTTGTAATAAGTTCGAAGGTAGCCAAGGACATAGTGTACTCGTACTGTGACTCGTTGTATTGTGACTGCCCCTTATATATATATAGTTTTGTGATACACCTTCAATATTATTATTTTACTTTATTCACGAAATTTATATTAATTGTACAAAAAACAACAGTTAAACTTTAAAAACTAAAATTTGAACCTAACCATATCCGAAGACAATAATTTGTTGTACTCAAAAGTTGGCTCCGTTTACGATTCGAACTGCAAGCCCATGTTTTGGTAGATAATTACTGTGCTGAGTAAGATATGTGATCTTACAGACCAATGTTTACAAACTAAAGACTTCCTGAAGCGTTAACCGCTAGACACAAAGCATTTGCATTTCAAACTTATAATTTAGTTTCACATTCAACGTTAATTCATTATAATAATTCATTATAATTACTTGTAAATAGATTTTTCTCTGTTTAAACTATAGATACTAGAGTATATTAAAATTAAACAAAGTTACAATATTGTTATAATATATAAAATCTGTCTTAATGTAGTTAAAAAGTTATGAAACATACTTAGCTTCTACTGTCCAGAACAATACAAGAATATGCATACTTGAAGACTATCATCAGACGTAACATGTCTCATACCCTATAGCTTACATAAATTTAAATTGATTTAAGAAAATATTATTTGCGAAGGAGGACACAGATTTTGATGAATTACTTAGTTAGCCAGTTCCCTTACGTACCACGTATTATAGTTAGTTAACTACCACTAGTGGACTCTAGAGGCCTTAGAACGTGAAACTCTCAATGGGAAGTTATTGCCATTATGATCTCACATTCATGTTTATAATTGTGTTTTTTTTCTTTTTTATATAAAAATATAGAAAATGGACTAAAATTTAAATTAAAGAAAGAATTCGGAAATTATAGAACAATTACAATCCAATGCGGAATTGCTGTATAAAATATCTCATAAAGTAATACAAAAATGAAGCAAAACACTTACCGAACCTCAAATTCTTCGGCTTATTGGATTTATTACTTACCCCGCTACAGCAAACTCTTACTTTATCATTAAAATGGCACAAGTATCATTTACAAGTATAAAAGAAAAGAAAACACCGCCCAAGTGTGAGTCGGACTCGCACGTGAAGGGTTCAGTACCCTTCATGCAGAGCCCACCTTTAATCTATACAAATAAATAAAATTGAAGTGTCTGTTTGTAATATTAAAATAACAGCTTTTTACTAAATGCATATGAAAGTATATACGGTACTAATTACAAACAAACAATTTTTAACGTTTTTTGTGTCTGTCTGTTTGTTCCGGCTAATCTCCGAAACGGCTTGACCGATTTTGACGAGATTTTCACTGTCAGATAGCTGATGTTATAAGGAGTAACTTAGGATACTTTTATTTTAGAAAAATAATCAGGGTTCCGCGCAAAAAAGTTAAAACCCTTGAAATCGTAGTAAATTCTACGCGGACAAAGTCGCGACGGACAGCTAGTTTTTAATTTATTTTTAATATTTTTTGTTATAGCGGCAACATAAATACACATTCTGTGAAAATTTCAACTGTCCGTAATAGGTAATTACGGATCATGAGATACAGCCCGCTGACAGACACAAGGACGGACGGACGGACGAACGAACAGACGGACAGCGGAGGCTTAGTAATAGGGTCCCGATGATTCCCGATGATAGGGTACGAAACCCTAAAAACGAAAGAAAGATAATTAAAATTTAAACACATATATTATACATAATAGGCCGCATCTTTAAGTAATTCCTCTGCGAGATAGACTTCGTAATGAGGTTATCCGAGGTAAAACCAGAATAACCGACATAGCTCAGTAAGCTGAATCGGTAATGGGCCGGCCATATAGTTCGAAGAACCGAAAAAGGTTCTTGAGTTACAGCCTCGTAT